CAGCCATTTTACCACCAGTCTTTTCCAAACTTCACATAGGTAGTTTATTTTTTTTCATCTACATTGCAATTCAGGTATAAATTCACAGATCCTGTTATGTGTTGCTGCCAAAAAACACACTAATATGTGTTCAGCAACATCTCCCGAGTACAGTAATACCACCCATGCATAGGCTTGTCGGGTTGTTAGAGGGCTAAAAGGCCACATTTGGCAGGTGCGCATATCCGTTTTCCAACTTGGAATTTTGACATGTAGTCAACCTGCGCCTATGTCCTATTTGGGTCAATGTATTTTACCCCAATTAAACCATATATTTTTGAAATGTAGACAACCCAGGGTTTTTTTTCACACACATTATACTTAGGCATGAATTAACAGATCCTGTTATATGTCACTGCCAAACAACAACCCAAAATGTGTTCAGCAACATCTCCACATTTGGCAGGTGCGCATATCCATTTTCCAACTTGGAATTTTGACATGTAGTAAACCAGCGCCCATGTCCTATTTGGGTCAATGTATTTTACCCCAACTAAACCATATATTTTTTAAATGTAGACAACCCAGGGTATTTTAAATGGTGGTATTTTAACACTTTTCATGCACTGAATTCTACCACCAGCCGTTGTCAAACGTTTGGGTAGTAATTATTTTTGTGTTTTTTACACACACATTGTACTTTAGGCATGAATTAATTGATCCTGTTATGTATCACAACAACACCCCAATAAGTGTTCAGCAACATCTCCTGATTACAATGATATCACCCATGCATAGGTTTGCTGGGCTGTTTGGGGGCTATCGAGACTTGTACATGTCAGTTTTTCAACTTGATATATAGGTATGCTGGGCCAATCTTCAGTTTGGCATATTTTTGTTAATGTTAACATAATGAAAGTAAATATTCTTATAAAGTAAACAAGCCAAGGTATTGTATATGGGGTGTTTTCACATCCTTCCCCCAACCATTATGCTAAACAAATTTCAGAGAACGTGCATGGTGGTAATTTTTGAATTCTGCTTTTTATGCACACGTCATCTGGTTTTGGCCTGCCAATTATATGTTACTTCCAGAAAACTTTTTTAACCAAATGTGCAGGTATCAAATGCACCTTTAGCAGCAATCTCTAAACTAACTCCTGCAATAAGAATCTAACTGGAGATTTGGGGGAAGGAAACTGACTAAAATTTGCAGCTTTCAAAAGAAACAAAAATAATATTCAGGAACATGTAGTATAAAAAGGTATGTTCTGTGGTAGAGCTTAAAACATGTTCCAATACACAGTCCAGGTTTTGAAGGGCACTTGGGACAGTGCAAAAAGGTGGCTGTCCTTTTCCCTTTTTTATAACAGACCCAGCAACATTTCTGGGGATTTGGTTTTTTTGCAGTAAAATGTCTGGACTCCTCTGGCATCGTTGTTGGAACTTGACCATATCCATAAATGATTGTGGAAATCAGCTTGAGCTGAAATTGGAGAAAGGTGGTTTTTCCAGGATTCATTTTTTTAAAAAGTAAAAATGAATTATGGGCTGCTACTTGCATCAGATAGATAGCCACCTTTTTATACCAGGCTTTTTTGTCTTTCTTAAGATAAGATATGGCTACAAGAGCTGATCAGCCAAATCAACATCCGCCATGTGCCTGTTATAAGCCCTGATGCAAACAGGTTTGGTCTATACTCTGCCTCGGACAGTGACATCTGCCATGCTGTCGACATCTGTCGCTCCCGACGCCCGTTTTCCATTATGACGGTTCAGGACCGTCGCCGGTCCTCAGCGGTATTTTACCGATGACGGTCCTTAAATTTTATTGCAAACACTTTAGCTTTGCGCAGAGCTTTACATTCACCTTTTTTTAATTTGGCCTCAATGAGAGGTCTGGGGAAATCGTTGGCATTTCTTCTCACAGTACCACAGGCCAGTATCTGCACACCATAAAGAGTTTGAAACAAACGGACACTGCTATAAAAATTGTCCACAAAAAGGTGGTAACCTTTATTGAACAAGGGGATCAGTAGGTCCCAAACAAGTTTCCCACTTGTCCCCAGAGAGTCAGGACAGCGAGGAGGGTCCAGTTGACTAACTTTCCCCTTATATACACGAAAGGCAAATGTATAGCCATTTTTGCTCTTGCACAGTTTGTAGAATTTTACGACATACCTAGAGCGCTTGGGAGGAATGTATTGTTTACCTCCCTTTATATTTTATTAAGGATTCATCAATGGATAAATTTTGTTGTGGAGTATAAACTTCAGTAAATATGTGCTGAGGATAGTCTACCAGTGGGTGTATTTTATGAAGTCTATCATATTGGGTGTGATCTCTGGGGTGACATAGGGTATTGTCATCAAAATGTAAATATCTCAGCAGCAACTCATATCTTGCTCTAGACATGGCTTGGGAGTACACTGGACTAGAACAGAAAGGGTAGGTGCTCCAGTAGGAGCGGATTGATGGCTTCTTTATAATCCCCATGAGAAATGTAAGAGCCCAGAATTTTTTAAGTTCAGGGACATCTGTGGGATGCCAAGCTTGCTCCTCCCTGATTGCATAGCTACCTGGATTGCTCCCCAGACTAATTTATATGCTACCCAATTTATCGATAAATTGGGTAGCATATAAATTAGTCTGGGGAGCAATCTCCTCCCATATGGTATCCCCTAAAAATAGCTACATATATTGCATAGGGGAGAAGTCATCTACATTGACATTAATGCCTGCGTTGCCACTAAAAGTGGGAATGTTGGGCTCAGCTAAATGTGGAGAAACCCGTTCCTCCTCCACATTCATCACAGCAGAGAAAGCACAGCTTCTTTTTGCAGCCGACTCACACACGGATGACATGCCACTAGATGTGTCGTAAAACTGAACTGGGTCAAAATCGGGCGCATTGTCAGTGGCGTCAGAGTCTGACGCCAAGACGGCATATGCTTCCTCCAAGCTGTACATGAGCTGCATGTTTCAGTCAAAACGACTAAACGAACAAAATACTAACAATTTTTTTTTTTTTTTTACTAAAACAGACTAAAACAGCAATCCTTAAACTAACTCCTGTTAAAAGAATCTAATGGAGATTTTGGGGAAGGAAACTGACTGACTAAAACAGACTAAGACAGTCCAAGACAGGCTAAAACACAGATTTTTAACACAAATTTAACCCTTAAAGGACCACTCTAGGCACCCAGACCACTTCAGCTTAATGAAGTGGTCTGGGTGCCAGGTCCCTCTAGGATTAACCCCTTTTTTATAAACATAGCTCACACGCCGTAATTGGCTGTTAAAACCTGCCTGGGATGCTCGGCAGATAGTAACAATGGGATTTCGGCAGAAGCGATCTCCAGTCGCTCCCGACGCCCGTTTTCCATTATGACAGTTCAGGACCGTCGCCGGTCCTCAGCGGTATTTTACCGATGACGATCCTGAACCGTCAGCGGTCGAGAAGGGGCTAGGTACACCTCTGACACAGAGAACATCACACACATGTAAACACAGGCATATAACCCCCTCCCAAGCCCAGGGCCGGATTAACATAGGGTCTGATGGAGCTGAAGCTCCAGGCCCAGGCTCATGGAATGGGCCCATTGATTTAAAAAAAAAAAAAAAAGGATCATTTTTTTTTTTTACAC